TCTTAAGACACTTTGTCACATGTGAATGATGAGCTAAAAGAGAATTTAGGCCAAGTATTAAACAATTTACAACTCAAATCAATGTGTGAAATGTTTAATGCGAGATGTTTGGTGATTCAGTGACAGCTCAGTATCACATTTGGATGATGAGATGAAAGTAGAGCTTATGCCAACAGTTAAATGATATTCTACTCAAAATGATGTGTGAAATGCATAACGCTGTTCCTTTCATTTCTGCATTTCAACAGTAATTCCATCAGCAATGCTGATTTTACATTGCAGCTTGGTATGCATCAACAGTTTTTTTTTTTTCCTTCAGATCGAGTACATGTTTGACTTTTAGATGTAGGTGTGAGAATTTAGTCTTGTGTGGTTTCTGCTTATAATTTTATCGTTTTGTCTCCTGTTATGTTGCCCTGTTTCTGTTTTGGTGTCTGATGCGTTTTACATGTTTCTGTTTTGTCTGCTGCATCTGAAGTGTTTGCTGGTGTACTGTTTGTTTTTGTGATTTCTTGGACGAGGAGTTTGAGTTGGGTATGTTTACATCAGGGAAAAAAATCATGTACTCCCGTGTAACTCCACCAGCCAGTTATTTGCTTGAAGGCAGGCGATCTATCTGCTTGAAATATTCTCTATATACCAGCATGTGGTCCAGCTCACTCTGTGTGCCATGTCATCATTATATGCTTGACAGGGAAGGCCGAAGCTCACTTTGCTGAGAGAATGAAGCTTCAAGTTGTAATAAATTCACTGATGAACCATGAAAAAAAAAAAAAACAACTCCCATTTTTATTTCTTATTTGGCTTGATCCACTACAGTTCACTCCCAAATTATTGGCAGCCTTCAAGAAAATTACTATGATTTTCTTCACACTCAGGTCAGTAAAATTACAGCGTGGACAGGGATTGAGAAACATTAAAGCAGACAAAACCAATGTCCTGGCATTCATTTTGTGTCTAATGGTGTTCACCTGTTCCGTGTTAGTCCTTAATTACTTTGCCCACGATCTTGTATCGAGTTTTTCTGAGCCGTGCTTTCTTGTTTCCCTATTTGTTTTGGTTTTCGAATCTTGCCTGTGTTTTGACTATGATTTTGATTATAGATTATCCTTGTTTAACTTAACTGCTTGTGCTGAGATTTCTGATGCTAACACTATTTTGCAAATTGACTTGCAATTCAGTAGTCATTTAATGTGCACTGTACAGCATTCGGATCATCCTAGATGAAAATGCATACAAAATGCAAACAATTCTTGCTGCGCGCACTGTCTAAATGCTTGTGGGGTGCTGATTCTTAGATGATAGAATATGCCAATTCCATTGCACCATAAGCATCTTTCTTCTCTTTATTTGCAAATTTGCAAACTATGACTCCTAAATGAATTTGTCTCATAACTCCAGACCATACAAATGTGGACGAGATTTGTAAAAGTATTCTTATGAAATATTGTTGCTCTGTATTAAGCAGCTGTTGTACAATATTTCAGACCAGTTATTAGTACTGTTATTTTCCAGTGTGGGATTTCATTTTAGCATTCCAGCAGAGCTCCAACTGCCTGTCTGCTGTTTGAGCATCTCTCCCACTGACAATTAATTATCAGCCTATCAGGTGACAGCATGACAGTCTAATCTTAGACAATCAAGACAGCTGGCAATTCTCTTCCAGGAGGAAGAAAAAGAAAGAAACAAGCTCTTATCTGCCAGGATTCATGTGGCATCCCTCAGTACTGCGGTAAATCCCTCATGGATTATGGAGAAAAAAAACATTTAACAAGATTCACAAATCTGATAAGCCCTGTTTAGTGTTTGTTCACGGCGTCTGTGTTTTTAGAGAGTTGCTTTTGGGTTTCACCAATCTCTAAAGCTGGAGTCTCAGGCTCAGGCTTTTGGCAAAAATTAAGGGTATACTTCAGGCACCAACGCTATCTTGCTAAGTGAAACTGCAATTAAATTAATTTAATAGCATCCTGATTAGACATTTAAGGAAAGAAGCCCTGCATAATCCTGATGCAAGGGCAGTGCAAGTTTGTTTTCTTTTCAATAACAAGCTAAATGTACGAGCTACATCGTACGAGATGATCCTGATAAAATATTGGCCAAATTGTCTAACAGACTGTGTGATAACGTGTTCATGTCAGGTAGTATGATGAAGATCCTCTAACGATAGACTTGTGATTAAAGGAAATTACTACTTACTGCTTATGCCGTCAATCAGCGTGATCTGGGTTCATGCGGAAAACAGGTTTGCATATACAAAAACATTCTGCAAGCGAGCTTGAGGTAAGAAGGACATTTGTTGTGTCCATTAGCACCAAAGAATTCTTTTATGATGTGCAATTTTTGTCCGCCACAGCGAAATCAGGCTGAAAATCATACAGTCTGCAGCCTGCTTAAGGGTAGATGCTAAAATGTTAACTACATTTTTTGAGAAATAAAATCGCTTCACTTCATTTCATGGCTCGGAAATGGCTTTTAAAGTGGCTTCTCATAATAATCTGTCAAGAGTGGCACTATATATCCTTCACTTCACTAATGCCGACTTTTTTTTTTTTTTATGCCTTTCTCATGTATTTTACTCGATGCTAAACACCCGAGTGCAGCTAGCATTTCAAGGCCGTGTCACTCATGCAGTAAACATATTATGAGCGCTCAGCTTTGGGAGGATGTTTCAATTTAGCCGGGAAGCCTGAGCGGATAGTGGCTGTCACAGGGAAAATGAGCACTCGTCTCCTCAAAGACGAGGGCCAATTGATTTTAATTTTAACTGAGGCCACTCGGCTAACACGAGGTTGGGAGAAGTGTTTAAAGAATTGCATGTATGGTCATGGCTTTACTCTCCTACCGCCAAAAGAAAAGGATTTCAGTTCGTGTTACGACCTCTAGGGTTCCCACCCTGGCTGATTAAGGTAGACTAACATTTATGGTCCCAATGGAACAATTAGGAATCATTGCAAGAATAACAACAATGCTGAATTAATTCCCTGCCAACCCAAAGCTGAACCTGGATGATCATTCTGCTGATTTCTAGTGGGCTGGTTTGGCTAGATGAGCTCTAAAAGGGATTAATAACAACAAGATGGTAGGAGGTGATGAAAAAGAAAGGAATGAAAGATTCCTTTGCGTCAAGGCTTGGAATGGAAAACTGAATTGTTCTTATACTTGCGGATTTCTGTTCTATTCACTGTTGTCTAGAATGACTGGCGCTGATTTGAATAATGCCTGCTTTATCTGACTTATCTAGAGCCTAGTTCTGCAAGATCAAACTGCTAATTATTGTTCTCTTGTAAGTCCTTTTCAAAAGTGGATGTTCTTGTCCTAATGTCGTTTCTTCATGTAAATGATCTGCACTGATCCATTTTCTACTAATGGGTTTCTCAGCCCACATGTAGGGTTGCGTTTTCATGCTAACGGCTGACTCAATAAGACGCAAACAGCCGAAAAAGTTTAGAGAATACAGAGTTGCAGCACATTTTCCGAACTGAAATGAGGCAGAGCGACTCTATTTTGTTAAATGAAATACAAATGAACTCCTAACCAAAGGGTCTGAAATGTAATCTTGTTTCATTTACCAATCCATCCTTATCCATTTAAATTTATATGCGATTTGGTTTGTGTCCGTTCTTACAAATATGCAGTTGTGTGATTACATAGAATTTGCGAACACTTTACATTAAGTTTACTTTACTTGACATTATTTACCGTAACACATTCGTTAACATGCTGTAATTATGGAACGTCTGCAAAACAAATTCCTGTTATCACTCACCTTATAGGAAAATATGGAATAGGAAATGGAACATTATATGAGTATATGAGGAGATAACGATAGGTATAGAAGGTCAATTAGGAATGCATCGTAATATGTTAACTATATGAGAATCAACAAAAATGATAGCGTTTGTGGTGAGTTTTTAGTTTTGGTCTTGCAGGAAATGAGAACACTCCCTGCTCACCAAGTGGATGCCTTTCTCCAAAAGTTTATCAACTTCTGGACTGAACCAAATCCCAAAGCCTCTCATCGGATTTTGTGGAGATGTTCCTTTCATTTCTGCAGGTCTGGTGGCTTTGTTACCAGCAGGCTCTAGCTTTTTGCAGCATTTTCTAAAGATAATGAAGAGGGCTGGGGAGCAGCAGCTGTTCAAACCGCTGAGATAGAAAGTATGAGTGATGAGGTTGAATTAAACAGTGGGAGCAAAGAGAGAAGAAATTGCTATGAAGTCAAAGGAAATGTCAATGTTATATTAAGCAGCATTTACACTTATGTTTAAAGTGAAAAGTGAAGAGGCTTTGGGTGTAATTAGAAAAGAAAATGGAGGAAAGATCTGACGCTGACATTAGTGCAGATGAATCATCAAAGACGCAGGAAAGGTTGGCAGTTGAAAGAGCTGTGCAATTAATCGATAGGGTAAAATAAATACCCTATAAAAACCATATAAATATATTAGGGGTGTACCGCAATGACACTATCTGCGTATCTGTTTAGTGCAGAAATATCTGTATCTGTGTTTGGATTGAAATCTGAAGTAGACGTGGCCTAAACTGGAGGTTTCTCTGAATTCTAGCTCTGACTGTTCCTCAACCTCAGCTACATCACACCAATTCATAATTCATAATTCATAATTTAAACTCATTTAGTTGCTGCTATTTCCCAAAATATAAACTAGTTACCTTAATTTAAACCACCAGGACCCCAACCAGGCGGTTACTAAAGATGAATGAATGATTGCTGTAAATGCGTCTCATGCATGATTGTTTGTCCTGCAAGCTTCATATCTGACCGCACGCTCACAACTGCATGAAAGTAAAAACCTCCTGTCCTGCAGGATCCCAGTCCTGATGCACACCTCTGGTCTCTAGGGTTTCCAAAGTCTTGTTTTTTACAGGTTGGGCTAGTTTAAAGACCACCATGACTTTGGTTTAAAGCAAAAAAAAAAATCAGAGTTAAAGCTAATCAATTTCTGCAAACATCCTACTAAACAGTAGGATATGCGAGGGAAGGTGGCATGGTGGCTTAGTGGCTAGCACTGTTGCCTCATACCTCTGCGTTTGGGGGTTCGAATCCCCCCTCTGCCCTGTTTGAATATTTGGTATCTCTAAATTGTTATTGTGCCCTGCAATGGGTTGGTATCCCATCCAGGGTGTCACCTGCCTCTTAGGATAGGCTCCAGTACAGAGAATGGATGGGAGAGGGAAAAGAAAATTATAGGGTAGATAATGGTCATACTATGCAATGAATGGTACAGGCTATTGTAGATACTGCAAGACAGAAATGCGTGCACACTATGGTGAACTTATTTTCCATGCTAAAACTGAGAAAAAGAAGAATGTGTCTCCCTTCATAGTGCCTGAACATTTTGGGCCCTTTTCAATGGTTTTTGATAAATGGTTAAGCTAGAGATATTACTGAGACCTGGCACCCCTGCTAATCTCACAAAAATGAATATTGGACCTCATATTCATATCTGTATTTATATCTGTTTAAGACACATTATCTGTTCATTCCAAATAATCTATTAATATTCAGTTACATCTCTTTTTGGATACTTATCTCTGATACCCTTTTTAACTTGAGTAATGAGTAAAATCAGTGTGCTTCTGCCTGCCATATTTATGTGGCAGCTTGTGCTATTAGATCATATCTGTGGTGTGGGAAGGTCGGGGGAGGCCTGTTTCTTTCTCTTCCTTTCTTTTTGTTTCTCTCTGTCCTCCCACAAACCCTGTTCTCATTTAGATAATGTGCGAAAATCACACGTGTTCAGCCTGCAGCTGCATCACGAGCCAACCTGCGACCTCCTAAATTTCAACGTGGGCTGCCCCGAGGCTTTTCAAAGTACAATTAAATTAAAATGACTCTTCTGAAACTTCACGTAGGTGGTGTCTAACACGCCGATGCGGTACATCACACTAGTTCACAGAGCGCTTTGTTAATTAGCATCGTTAGCAGCTCCCATTGTGAGGATGCTGTATGTGACAAACCCTGTTGAGATTCTTCCTACACAGGGGTAAATGGTTTTCAACGGGAAACACGGGACGCGTAGGAGTGCTTGTCACTTCCACAGCATGCTGATTCAGGCGTATCTGAATTTCTCCAGCGATGGATAATCTGTGCAAAACATGACTGTGTGCTGATAAATGAGGGGTTGTCATCGGCTAATAACTGCATCATCCGCTTGGAGCTAGTTTGATGGCTTTACTTCTGTCCCCTGAAAAGTTGAAAGAAGTACAAAATGCACTGCTGTCTACTTGAATTATAATGGACCTCCTACGCGTTAGTGAGCAGTAAATTAAAGGCAGGATTGATTCTCTATATGTTGAGCAAACACTAGCATTAGCGATGCATTTTATTGCAAGTGGCAATAAAATGCCACCATTCAGAATCAATTTTAAAAATACAAGCCAATGTGTCTATTTATGAGGCCATAAAATATCCCTGGTTAGCATAAATAGCTCTGTCTACTCACTCCATAACAGATTGCTTCAAGCTTTCAACCACCACTGACACAGACCATTGGTTTTGGAACAGGTGGTTGAGAGAAGGAACCAGGAGAAGACTGGATGAAACTTGACTTGGTGCTGGAAGAACAAAACCATATGTTTAGTTATGTCCAATGGGAGCCTGCCAGGCTTCTGGTGACATTTACATACAGATTAATGATGGCAGTTGTGGGTCAAATCAGAGCCAGTGCAAGGAACCCAGTAGTACTGCTTGCGTCTTTTTCCATTTACTCCAACTGAGACACCAGTTGATGTCCAATATTTGCGCTGGGACCACAATGCCTACGGTATGGCTATCTAGCCCTAATCTTTACCTCAGACTCTCCACCCACAGCACAGATCATCTGAAACGTATTGTACACTTTTCTGGCCACAAGCTTCAGAATCTTGAAGGTTGCAATCTTATTGAATATCTGGGCTTCCATGTACTCACACGCAGCTTCTGCTAGGTAAATAAGACTTTGAACACTGTGACACAATGAACTAGTCAAAGCAAGTTAGTCAAGAGTTTTGTTTGAAGATGTCAGTGCCTTGTGAATGAGATTCTCTTGCTAGCTTTCCTGATGGGCTCGCAATGTCAGTCAAACAGCCTCTTTCTGTGAAAGTAGGTGATTCTTGGCCAGAATTAATAAAAAAAAAAAAAGCATTAGCATAAGCTGGGTTTGTTAGACCACTTTCATCATAAAATCTTATCTGAAAATACAGAACTATCTTCATATACTTACTTCAAATGATATTTTTAAACTACATAATCTCATTTTTAATTAAACCCTTTTGTAAAATTGCAAAACTAGAAAGAAGTAGAAAAATATTATACCTTTTCTATCATACCACAGATTCTCGAATCTGATTGATCAGAGCTGTGAAGTTTTATGTAAGGAGGTTTTTATTTAATTTTTATGGAATGAGTCTCCAGTGTCAGCAGTAAAGCAGTAAAGCTGTAACTTTAAGTTCTCTGACACAAGAGGGCTTCCAGTTTTTTGGTAACTTGACAAGCTGCGTTTTTTTCCTTCTCTCTTATTAACTTTGAGAGATAAAAAAAAAGAGAGAGAGAGGCTGGTGAGGGAACGACTGTTTAAAGCTCATTAAAAAATGACCATTTCGCTTCAGACATGTTCTCAGATTAATGATGAGCAATATCCAGTGGGAGTGTCAAAGAAACCTGGTGGTATACCCAACTATAATAATAATAACAACACTGTTTCTGCGAGAGCAAAAATGAGCATCTCCAAATGGTTCCAAATGGCTCATATTTGTAATAAAACACAGTGCGGGCTAATTTTCGCTGTTTGTCTCCTCAACAGTTCTCTCGTGTTTTATTGTCTGCCTCTGTTTCGGCAAAAATGAGTGCACAACCAACGTGCTCTCCATGTTTAGGCTCCATTCACATGAAAAGAAATGATATAATGTAATGAGTTTTAGATCAGATGTGGTAAAGAAAGGTAATATAATGTGAGCACTTGTGCACTATATGTATCATGGCAAGGGGTGATCAGCACAATAGATAGTAAGATGGCCGACCTTAAACACACTTTAACCTAAATGTCTTCCTGCCTGATGGCTAAAAAAAAAAAAACCCAAGACAAATGGAAGCCCATCCTTTTAGCATTTCATTAAGAGCTAGTGGATAAACAATATACTGGCGCATGTGCCGCTGCATTGCTCTACATCCCAAGCCAAATAAGGACAATAATCAGCTCCATTTTCTAGGAACAAATAGCCTGGTGGACTTTCGCTGGCTCAGGTGGAGCCGGACAAAGCTGTAATGGGGTGTCTGGAAATAGAACAGAGCATTCTTTCTCTTGGGGTTTTATTTCATTTGATTTACGATGGCTTTCTACATCTTTTTGCCTTTCCAATACAAAATGTATTGCTAATGTCTGTCGTTATTAGCGGTTACAGGCAATGAGGCATTAATTGAAATAGCTTTTTAATTAGGAAAACCATTTATCTTTTTTTTTTTTTTTTTTTTTTTTTTTTTTTTTTTTTTTTTTTTTTTTTTTTTTTTTTTTTTTTTTTTTTTAAATCCCATCTGATCCATATGTTTAAAGGCATTTAAAGCTGTAAGGTTTTGATTGTTGGGGTTCTGCCCTCAATTAGAACAGTGATAACTATCAGACGCTTGCTGCACTAGCATTAGCGATGTACGTAAGGGTTTGTGTGTATGTGTTATCAGGGAGTCATTTGAATACAGTAATAACATATAAACCCTTACAGTAGGATCCAAAAGTCTTGTATCATCCAGCGATAGACTGGCGTCTCATTTTTTCAGAATGATATTTTTAACAGAGTAGTAAAATTTATCATTGAGTCCTGATTGCTATAGGTTTTTTGTTTTTTTTCGTTTCCTTTAACAGACCTTCAAAATTCATCCAAATGCTAAGCTCTCCTTTCCCAGATCCGTTCATGAGAGAGCTCTTAATGAAAGTCACTAGATCCAGATGGATGCAATTAAAAGCTGACTGTCTTTTCTTCCTAAAGCTCATTACAGGTCATGACATTACGATAACTTTTGCAATATTCCCACGCTTTATGACTCACAAAGAGCGGCCCATATTGGCGCTGCAGCAGACGAGTCGCTAGCTAGTGTGAGGCTAGCTCTCCTCTGAGAGGCAAGACTGACATATCCATTAGGATGGTGAATAAATGATTGACAGGTGCCTCTCGGTCTTTCAGATGGCACGGCTTTTTGTCACAACTGTCTCCTTGGGTGAAATCTGTTTAGGCACACAGCGTCTTCATTAGTCTGTGGATTAATTCACAAACTACGTTTGTCGATTCTTTGAGGATAGAGTACTGGGAATCAAGTTTAGGATGAAAATTGGAAGCAAAAAAAGAAAAAAATCTGATCAGAGATCAGATTCTTCTGCTGTTCCTCTTGGTTTTGTGACGGAGTGTGTATGCATGAGTGTGTATCCGTTTGATATTAGCTCTGATGGGCTCTCTGATTAAGAAAATCAGGATGTTGATCTGAGATCAGTACATCAGCACAAGTGCCATCAGAAGAAGTCTTCAAAAAAAGACTTCAAAAAAATCTATTTCATACATTCAGATATGTTTAAATGTCACTTCATTAGCCTTTGATGATAAGGTGCACCACTTTTTCCAGGCTGTAATGCTGCCTGTAATGAGAGCATGGCAAAAAGAAGTCTCTTAACTCATGTCTGAAATCTTATTGGTTATGAAATTTGTATGGAATCTGATTTAAAACTAGTAACAGAATCTGTTTACAAAAAAATCTGATTAGTCCTGGAATACAGCTGCAGCTAGATTAGTCATGGTATCTGAGAGGAATCTGCTGGATTATGGTGTCTGATTGGAATGTCGACGAGATTATGAAATTTGATTAGAATTTGCTTAGTTAGAGAATCTGATTGTTAGTGAAAATGATTGCTGTCTGAATCTGACTAGAATTTTAGTGGTTATGAAATCTGATTGGAAATTATTTGATTGATTATGAAATCTAAAAATAATTTTATTGGTCAGAAATCGATCTGAAATCACATTGGGTAAAGAATAGAATTTTAATCTGGGTGGTTATAAAATCAGATTGAAATCTCAATCATTATGGAATTTGA